AAGTGACGGCGTTGTTGATAATGCAAATTTTAACCCTGAACAGGTTTTTCGAACGTAAAGCAAACATAGTGATAAAGTGCAAAAACTTAAGGCTCAGCAAAATTCGATCCATGGTCTCACCAACACAACTGGCGAACACTACCACAAGGTCAAGCTGCTCGCTGTCAACCTTGCTCTGCCGGTCTCTTCTAGTGGGCTTTCATTTGAAACAACCTTTGTAACTCTGTTCAGAGAATCGTTCCGCAAATTTGGAGAGTGGATTTGAGATCAGCGTCCGAAAACACGTCTGTGAGTATAGGTTTCATTACGAATGGCCACTTCGACTTGGTATCCTTCCCTTGTTAGAAGCAAAAGCAAACTGCAGGGAATGGGTTCAGCAAGCCTCAACTCGGGGATGGGTCCCCAGAACTGTGCGTCTCTACTGTGATCGATGACGCAACTCTTATGGTTAAGAATAGGGGAAGCATCTAGAGATGCAGAGCTTTGGGGAGCCTGAGTTGGGCTTGCTGCACCCGCTTTCATGAAGGAGGATATTGATCGAATGTTTCAGGAATGGGAGGCGGACCAGGAGGAATGGGAGGCGGACCAGGCGGACCAGGCGGACCAGGCGGACCAGGCGGACCAGGTGGAATGGGAGGCGGACCAGGTGGAATGGGAGGCGGACCAGGCGGAATGGGAGGCGGACCAGGAGGAATGGGAGGCGGACCAGGAGGAATGGGAGGCGGACCAGGCGGACCAGGCGGACCAGGCGGACCAGGCGGACCAGGCGGACCAGGCGGACCAGGCGGACCAGGTGGAATGGGCATGGGCGGTGGACCAGGAGGAATGGGAATGGGCATGAGAGGACCAAGAAGAATGGGTATGCGAGGACGACGACCATTCGGCATGCCAATGATGCCAATGATGCGACCATTTCCACCATTTATGATGGGCTGAAGACGTTAGAATTGGCGATACTACGTAGTCGCACTGCACAATTCGAGCAATTCAAATGTTAGTATTTTGCGGATTCAATCCATCATTCTCTGTAGTGTCCAACTTGAACGATAAAGCACTTCGTGATGTTTGGTGTTCATGATTTCATCATTTTATTGACTAAACTTCGGATTTAAACATTGGTCTTATCCTTATAAACCCACACCACACGATTAGATAATTGTGATTATTGTGTCTGAGAATGAAAGAGAGTGGAAGCAGATGTGCTGAAAAGTGCTGATGGGTTGAAGACTATTACAATCGGCGCAACACACTGCATTGCTCGAACAATTATCCGAATGTTGTTATTTTTGTGGCAATATTCGCTCACTCTCTGTGATGTCTAATTTTCAATAATAAAACAATTTTCATAATTAATTGACATTGGCGACTTCATAATTTTTGTCGACAAAATTTTCAATAATTGACATTGGCGACTTCATAATTTTTGTCGACCCAATTTTAGAGTGGATCCTGGATCAATTCCTTTCAAGTCACATCACCAATCAGACGGATGTTTGCGTTTAGAATATACACTGCGTTTCATAATTATAGGTCCACCCTAAATTTTTGCTACCCCAAAGTTGCTGTGCATTTTTTGGAAATGCTGCTATCACCGTTAGATTCCTCATCACGGAAAACCTTCATAGTGTTTTTCTGACAAATTCCCCCCTCAAGTAACCCAATTAACTTTTTTAGAACGAATTTTCACCGAATTTCGATGAATTAATAACTCATAAAGTTTCCATTTCTCACGATCCGTGAAGGGAATCAGGGAAGCGGGGAAATATGTGGGCTCAGTCGACATCGAGTTTACCATACCTCGTGTTATTCGCCTCTCTTCCCAGTAACAAGCTCAAGCTAGAGCACTTACTGAAGTGGGATAGCTGAGGAGCAGAATTTCCTCCCATGTCGGCCGGCTCATACTGCATAAGCGACTATGTGCAAAATCCTGGTCAGTGCGGAGAGAAGAGTCGCTTAGGTAAATAAAGACTGCGTTTCCTTCAAAATTTAGGAGGAATTGGGTGTCTTCTCTCGAATTATACAAGGAGTCCGAACAAAGTCCGTACTGAAATGCGGCCTTCCGTGAGCAAAACCACCGTGTGGTGAGTAAGCCAGCAGAGCAATAACATCTTCAACGGATTGATGAAGAGCGTTCCAAGATTATTTGAGCGCTACAAGATCGCAAGTCTCCATTTCTCCGTGGAAAAGGGCTCAACTTAATGAGCGATGGTGTGGCTGTTAAGACCCTTCGCGATCTTGGACTCTACCTCCTTGTTTCGTTCTACAGGTGGTCTGAGATCGACGTGGAAAAGTTTATTCTAGGTGGATATATGGCAGAAAAAGAGGGTACAGGATGATCGCGTGAAAATCGCAGATGGTTTCAATGTAACGTAATTTCGGCGGTGAATCCCTAATTTAGCTACCAGCATTTCAAACGTATTATTGTGTTCCTTATGATTATTGGGGGGTCATCCCATTATTGAAAATTCGTGACGTTTTTTCGTTATAGTAAAATCTCTCGACAAGTGATGTGTAGTCATATTTGCGAAACGGTGAAAATACGTTCTAAGGAAGATATTTTAATAATTCTGAATCGAGATTTCTCCAGAAATCAAGTATCAAGGTTTTTCGTTATGGGGAAACTATTGGTAATAGCGGCATTTTCCAAAAATGCACAGCAACTTTGGAATAGCAAAAAATTAGGGTGGACCTATATTTATGAAACGCAGTGTATAAGGAAGTAAAAAGTTTAGCTGCAAGAAAAAAATGAAATGCTGCCAGAAAGAGGGATCCTGACGGCTTCCTTCTTGAGCCGTGGTAAAGCGCTAGGACGGCGAGACATTGGACCAAGCAGAGAAAACAGACCGAGACAGCATAGTGGAGAGTAGTGTGGCGCATGAGCAATGGAGCAAGGAGGGGCATTTCGGTGCAGAAAGCAGCGGTTACGATATTCTAGGCATAAAGTGTATTTTGAGCGTTAAGTATGAAAGTATTTAAAAGTCATTGTATGAAGTGACCAAATAATAAAAAACGTGGATAAATCATATTACGTCCGAGAACTGACCACTGGTGAGACCCTCACTCTGCCAGTTGAATTTAGTCAAGCCTGGGATCCAGAGGCTGGCCAGTTGTGTGAGTGTGCATCAATAAAATGCATACAAGGAACGACACCATCACAGGATACGCCAATTTGATGCAAATTGACAAGCGAACTAGAAATAGCACGTTGACGCAACGATCCCAAATCAAAATGGTAGAGCAACAGCGGTTGATAGTGAAACTGTAGATGCCGAAATGATTGAAACCATTGATGGAAATTCCCTCTTTTTCTCTAAGATTGAGGAAAAGGCGCGTCCGGACGAGTTGTGCGAACTTGCTTGCTCCCTCCATAGCTCCACTGAGCCCTGCTCGTATGTGGAATTGGCACTAATCCCAACACATGTAGTGTGTCATGAGGTGTGTACGAGGTATCCTGTTCCGTAGGTTCACATTAGCTGCCATCAGATCAATGTGGAAGGCCCTAGCGCCATTGTCGCGCACTTTGAGCCGCTGCAACGGCACATTTGTGATACTAGTGGACTACTTTATCCCACACAGAGAACAGATTCTTTGACTCATCCCCATATGGGGGTCGTTGCTCAAATGAAAACGAACACCAATAGCTTTCCACGGGCGCGGGGTGGCTTCGTACAGTGGTATGCAAAACTCGAAGACGAGATGGATAAAATAACATACTTATTAAAAACTCAATGGAATTGGATGAAACTTGATACCTGTCCAACAATTGTCAGTTGCGGATTTCGAGGAATAGAACGAGGAATTTTCCACAAGAAATCCTTACAATCTTGTGGCCAATATGAGAGCACGTAGCAGAGCACACCTTACAGTCTCTGGTGATCACACACTCTATTGAGAAACCTGACTTTTCTCCTGAAGGTTAACGCATCGGCATTGAGAACTTATGAATTTTTAGGCTGTGTGAAAAAGAGTGAAGAAGAAAGTGAAGAAGCGACGTGCGAGGCAAGCATAACAACCAGCAAGCAACTCTTCAATTGGTGGTCCTGAATGTCCAATTCTGACAACTCGGTCTCCATTTGCTTTCCCATCCTGCTATTAAAACCGAACGCGGGATCGCCCGACTAGTAGGAAGGATACCGCAAAGGAAATTGTGGGGTCCGTGTTTTCGTAGGGCAGCAGTGGTGTGGTGACAAGTGGACGCTTATCACACGCGCGCTCTGGGGTCAAGCCTTCCATCCCTCCGGGGTCGGTTAATTGGTACCAGACTTGTCTGGGAGGATAAAAACACTGACTTGTACATCGGCTGGCCCCCGCAAGTCATTGTATAGGCCACATCGCATTCAAACGCCACTACGAATGTACAAATGGAAGTAGAATGCGTGCCGCATCCCAAAAAGGGATTGATCAACGGCAAATGCTTTATCCTTTATTTAACCAGTTGCACCGCACGCGTTGCGCGCACAGACAGTTCTGCGGCGATATGGTTTGGTGCGGCATAAGATTCTCAATTTGGCTGTTACACTACGAATATTTGACTTCTGAGCTAATTCTATCCGCTCCATCCAACGATGGCTTCTAACCTCTTCTTCGCCGTCAACCATTGTCCTATTTTTTTGTTTAGACTGCCTCTACTCTGATTTATAAATCTGGTAGACTCCGTTTATTTCGGTGCATATCCCCACGTTTTCCCCGCCTTTGAACTGTCTCTGAGCTACTTTATACGCCTAGTGGCAAACTCCGCTCACTTTAATGCATGCTCCGCCCACCACTGTGAATTCAGTACCCTCTTTCTACCGGCTTCTTTCCATTTTCCCGATCCCTGGACACTCCCAGGAACGAAGATGTAAGTCTGCCAACAAACTCCACCCAGTTTGGTGCATTTCCCACTCACCAATAACAATTAACTTCATATCCTTTGCTATTCACTTTTTTGCCGGTCTCCACCGTTTTTCGAAACCGAGCTGTAAATTCGTTCGCAAACTCCGCCCACATTGGCGCACGCCCCAGCCACAATAACATTCAACCTCCCCTCCTCCTTTTACCCCTGTACACCTTTTTCCCGCTTAGCTTTTTGAAACCAAATTATGGTGATCTGTAGGAGCCGCTGCATACATCACGACACGCCCCGCCCATTGTGGGCGGGTCTCCGCCCACGTCACTCATGCTGAGAACTCTTTCCCCTGTTTCGAGGCTGTTTTGTAAGAGGGTGTAAAATCTCGGTCGTCAGTACAGTTCATTTCGATGCACGCCACGCCCACTGTGGGCGGGCTCCGCTTAGCTGATGTGTGTTTTGTACTTCGTGAGACCTTGCCCACCCATCCCACACTTGACCCGGTCCCTCCAGGCGGATCCCGAGGAGCTAGGGAATTTCGTGACAGACATACAGAACGACAGACGACAGACGACAGACGACAGACGACAGGCGACAGCTACAACTGACACCTTCTCCACATTTCAGTACTGCTTAGCGTCAGCACAATTCATTTATTGGGATCACAATTCAGTCATTAAGTGGCATGTGGTGATCGAGGTGAAGGAGTCCTATACTCAGGAGAGATGTGGATGTGATCTAATGATGAAAGATTGAAGAATTAAAGTGCTCGCGAGACCTGGAGAAGGTGAGATGCCCGCTATCGAAGGTGCGGGAGTTAAGACATCCAAAAGAGTAACTGTAACTACTACAGTAAGAAAGGACTGATTGGCCAATCTCGAGATCAAAGAGAGGCAGATAAATAGAGGTTTCAAAGGAGTGGGGAAAAATGCCTTTCATACCTTCGTTCTTAGTGGTGGACAATCTATCGCACCTTCTGCCTCGAACCACGGGACCATAGCCACGACTTCGACTTTTGAGTTTTCTCAAGAAGGGAGCGCTTTCAAGAATTTTCACCTGAAAGACGTTTGAAAGGGAGAACCGAAAGGACTGGATGAAAAATCGAGCATTGTAAGGATAGCGGATCAGTAGTGCTGGAATTGTGTTGCCGACCATACTTCGCTTCACAAAAGGTGAATAGCGAGGAGCCGCTAACGACTAATTTTACTGAATATTTATAGCTCATACGCTACATACAGAAAGTGCTCACTCCAAGTGTGCTTTGAACATGAAAAAGAATAGCCACTCGAAGACGAGAGTAAGCAAGTTTTCATGTTCACTGCTTCGGAATTTGTTATCCAATATGTGCACTTGCAAGCTGCCCAAATACTATTCATTCGCACTTTGTGTTATGAATCTCACGGCTTTGGAGTGAGATACGAGCTTAGCCTGCGTGAAAGGAGACGTAATGAAGCCTTCTTCTTTCGAGGAATTCCACGATCTTCGAATCGTAGTCGCAGCTGGCACGTTTCTTATTTACCTTTTTGTGATGGACTCGTGGCAAAATGCGACCTTTCCCCATATTTCCAGGCAAGTAGCTAGCCATGTTTGCATTCTTTTGTAGCTTTCAACAAATGCATGAGAAAGCCTAGTTCTCAAAACATAAGTTCCTTGGAGAAAATTATGTTCACAGAGAAAGATTTAATGGCCTCAATAATCACGTAATCTGGCTGTATATAAGCTTCACAATACTATCTTCTGGGAGAGCTGAGATTTTCTGGGGGATTCAACTAGTGCTACTCCGATCGTCCTTCCGGCTTCCAGTCAATACCAGTGATCGTCTTAACCGCTTCGGCTCCCCTGCAGTCCCCTCGCCTCAGCGTCTTCGCCACAGATCAGCGAGCCGATAAGCCTTGCAGCTTCTGGCAGGAGCGGTATCGATTACGCCAGGCTTCGACGCCCTTCCGGCTTCCAATACCGGTTATCGCGATTGATTCGCGATCCTTAGAAGTTTCTCAGATTTACGTAGCAAAACAAAATCGCTTATCTTTGGGAAAAAGGCCTTTATCTCATGGCGGGGATAGGAATGTAGTGCGCCTAAGAAAACAATATATATACTGGTCGATTGAGCTTAGGGTTTGCTTTTGGCTTTTACTGTGAGACTCGACTTGTCGTCTTTGAGTCTGTATACTGTATTCGTTGGTTTGCTTGCAATAAAAGGATCGCTATTCGAACTACATACGACACTGAACCACCACGTCAGAAGAAGAGAGAAAAGCCGTTGAAAGTGGTGATCGTCCTAAACGTTCGCGCTTCCTGCATTCATCGCTCGAGAGAGGTAATAGACTAGCGCCGGTATCTACACAACTCCGCAAAACCAATAACGAAACCTCAGTCAGTTTTTCAGCATCGAGAGTCGATTTCAACATCTTCAGTGGATTCTTCTGTGGATTGCTGACGAAGCGGCGTGTCTTCGCTGGTGATTAATCTGATATTTGTTACTGAATAAACTAGTACATTCTAACCGCGTGGCACATTAAGAAAGGCGAGCAGCCCCACAATTGACCCCAGCCCTCTCCCATCCCGGCCGATGCACCAAATTGTGATCGGAGTAGCACTAGTTGAATCCCGCAGAAAATCTCAGCTCTCCCAGAAGATAGTACATATTATGAGCTTATATACAGCCAGATTACGTGATTATTGAGGCCATTAAATCTTTCTCTGTGAACATAATTTTCTCCAAGGAACTTATGTTTTGAGAACTAGGCTTTCTCATGCATTTGTGAGAATGAGAGCTACAAAAGAATGTAAACATGGCTAGCTACTTGCCTGGAAATATGGATAAAAGTCGCATTTTGCGACAGGACTAGGGCTCCTTTGCTCCTCCTCCTCATGCTAGACGGTTTCGATTTGTGGCGCTTACTGGCTTGTATCTTACATAACTGCTTGCTTCATAGTATTTGCTAATGAACGCTTAGTAAATCCACTGGGCCAGCACATACATACTCGTCCACAACAGAAGTCTACGTGGGCTCCAGGATGGGGTGCGTGACGATTCAATCGTGGCAGCGGCTAGGTCGCCGCGCCAGCCGCCGCAGCCCGCGATGCGACGTCGGCCGTGCTAGAATTCAGGGTTCTAGCATTGGGGAATGTAGGATTAGATGAAGTTTCCAGTCGTGAAACACGGTATATGATCACCTGCCCCCTTAAAATACAGGATCCTTGTCCTTTGCCATTATTTACAAACTTATTCTGTCATACTGATGTTATGCCTTCCTCACCGTTCCACTGCGTCTTGGAACGTAATATTTTTCCGATTGAGCCAGATTATCGCTCTCTGATAACAATTCAGGCAGTTGATTAATAAAGAAGTCAAATTATGTTCAAAAGGACAACCTTTACATGGCACAAGCTCTGTACAGTGAGGCTTAAATAACTGCGGAGATCTTAAGGTGACGCTTGTTGGCTCACTGATGTCTGGAACTTTGGTCTTGTTCAGTTCTCTAACCCCACCAGCAACTTATGGACAAGGACCGTTAAGCCAAGCCCCATACAAAAATCGCCGCACCAGCTTGCCGCGCGCGACGCTGCCCGCCGCGTGAGCGGCGTGACCTCATTGGCCGACGATTGAATTGACCGTCTCCTCTCCAGTGTCTCGCTGTCAAAGCACTGTTCAGCACATCTGCTTCCACTCTCTTTCATTCTCAGACACAATAATCACAATTATCTAATCGTGTGGTGTGGGTTTATAAGGATAAGACCAATGTTTAAATCCGAAGTTTAGTCAATAAAATGATGAAATCATGAACACCAAACATCACGAAGTGCTTTATCGTTCAAGTTGGACACTACAGAGAATGATGGATTGAATCCGCAAAATACTAACATTTGAATTGCTCGAATTGTGCAGTGCGACTACGTAGTATCGCCAATTCTAACGTCTTCAGCCCATCATAAATGGTGGAAATGGTCGCATCATTGGCATCATTGGCATCATTGGCATCATTGGTCGTGGTCTCATCATTGGTCCCATGCCCATTCCCATTCCGCCTGGTCCGCCTCCCATTCCTCCTGGTCCGCCTCCCATTCCTCCTGGTCCGCCTCCCATTCCACCTGGTCCGCCTCCCATTCCTCCTGGTCCGCCTCCCATTCCACCTGGTCCGCCTCCCATTCCACCTGGTCCGCCTGGTCCGCCTCCCATTCCGCCTGGTCCGCCTCCCATTCCGCCTTGTCCGCCTCCCATTCCTGGTGGTCCGCCTCCCATGCCTGAAACATTCCATCAACTTACTCACTGCTGAGATTCGTGGCGGCTTCGCAAATGCGCTAATTTGAATTTCCATCGTTAGCAACTATTGACAATCAAAGCGAGTTCATTGCGATGTAGGTAAAACATTGCGTTTGAATTCACCTGGGAACTGGGCGTTGCTTGTCGTTACCAGCAATAGGCACAGTATGGTTGGAAGAATTATGGCGGTGAACATTCTGAAAAACCAACTTTGAGGTGGCAGAAGGTTCCAAAAGCAGGAAGAAGAAATGTAGTTGTGCTTGGGGATGCGCTCGGACTGAGTTCTTCGCAAGACTAAGTGGTCTGTGGGCAGTCCTTCAGAATTTCTTTTTATGCCGTTAGAACGTGCATGTTTTTCGCGTATACGATAATAATGCAACCGAGAAATGGTCATATTTTGCGAAAAGACGCAATTATAATAATAAAAAAACGATTCGCAGTGCTATAAAAATGTGCTATGATTTTTATGTTTACACCACGTCACGGACAACGCATAAATGTTGATAATTTATTCGTCAATTTTCCTCGAAATTGGAAACATCATAGCTGTTTTGAAACGGCATCACTTGAATATAGACCTTCATATATCCCGCTGCGGAAAATAGGAACATTCTCGACGGGGTCCATCTAAAAGGATAAGGATAAAGCATTTGCCGTTGATCAATCCCTTTTTGGGATGCGGCACGCATTCTACTTCCATTTGTACATTCGTAGTGGCGTTTGAATGCGATGTGGCCTATACAATGACTTGCGGGGGCCAGCCGATGTACAAGTCAGTGTTTTTATCCTCCCAGACAAGTCTGGTACCAATTAACCGACCCCGGAGGGATGGAAGGCTTGGTTGGCCCGGTGAGGCACGACCCAGGACCGCGCACCTGGTAAGCGTGCCACTTGCCACTTCACCACTTCCGCCCGGTGTCCGTAAACGAAAATGGGGCCAATCGAAATACACGGGGCATATTCTACAAAGGAAAAAAAATTTCAAAAAGGATAATGTCACCAAAGTGTTCATTCAGTGAACAAAACATACATGCCAACGCTTGTTACTTGCTAACCCCTGCGGAGCAACAGCCAACAAAACAGGAGATGTCATAAACCACAGATTAGCTTCTCGGTGAAATCCGGAAGTTCAATTTCAACGTTCCTTTTCATTCAATTTTGATTTACGGTTTCGTTGAAGGCGTGCATATATGATCTTCGCATCCTTATTGCCTGAGAGCTTCGCTATTA